AGTCAGCAGCAGCAGCAGCAGCAGTGGTAGTAGTAGTGGTAATAATAATGAATCTTTATGGATGTATGTAGATCACAGTTGAAGTCCCCTGGGTGCCTCGTTGCCGAAGGAGACCCGGCGTTTGGATCCGTCAAGCGATAAGCAACGTGAGCGATGTAGGCCAGACTGGCAAGGATTATTTTACGACTGAGGGCTGAGAGTTAAGGTGTTCATGTACATGGTGCACTCGGAAATTCAAAGGCTGTCTTATGGTATTGTGTCAAGTTTCGGGGTTGTGCTGTAGGGTTCAGCATCTTGGGATATATTGCTTAGGCTTGTAGGGTTTGGGGTGGAGGTCATGCAGCTCAGGATACCTCTAACCCAATCGTACTCTGAACCTCCGACTATGGGTAACACACACAAGATGCCATAGTATACTAAACTACCAAACTATACTATACCACACTATACTATACCGTACTGTACGATACGATACGATACGATACCATAGTGTACTACACTAAAAGAAACAAGGTTTGGGGGGCTTTGGGTTGAGGGCTCCGCAATTGGACTGAGGCTTGGTCAGAGCGGGCCTTGGTTCAGGGTTTACCTACAGTCATAGGCCCCTAAGTAGTTCCTTTCGGTGGTTTCTGTTTGGAATCTTATAAGGTAATCCCAAAAAGGAACTACTTAGGGGCCTATGGGTATAGTATTCGTTGTAGTCCTTTTTTTGGTTAACCAGTTTTATGACTACGATCCTACAACATAAAATTTGATTAACCAAAAAAGGAGCTACAATGGAGACTATAGGTAGGGTTTAGTGTTTAGGGTCCGGGCTGCTGCTCGAAGATTTTCCTCTTGTGCGGTTTGGGTTTGGGGGTTCAGGGCTTGATTCTGGCGTAGCACTTAGGAGTTTAGGGGCTTAGAGTTCAGGGGTTTAGGGCTTAGAGTTTAGGGTCGGGCCGGAACAAATACATATATTATGGATATCAGGATCTCACGACTTTCTGAGTAAATAGGCCCTAAGTCAGGGCGTCATCTGTTTTTTGTAGCACCAGAACCCACAAACCCCAAAGCATCCTAAACCCTAAATCCTCGACCCGAAACCCTAAACCCCAAACCCCCAACCCCCTAAACCCCTAAACTCTTAACCCCTAAACCCTAAACCCCTAAATCCTCAACCCCTAAACCCTAACCCCTAAACTCCTAAACCCAAAGGACCCTAAAACCCAAAAACCCTAAACGCTAAATTTTAAACCCTACAGGCTGCCTTCCTGGAGGCTCCCAAACCTACGGTTCATGATAGAAAAGGCCCTGCATCCCATAGTTTAGGGTTTAAGGATAATAAGGAAAAGACCATGAATCCCATAGTTTAGGGTTTAGGGTTTAGGGTTTTGCGGTTTAAGAGTCATTACCAATGATAAGGAATAGGCCATAAATCCCATTGTTTAAGGTCCTTCAGGTACTGCTGGGTTTCTTATATCATCAAGATTAGGAGTCCAGGAAGACATCCTACACTTAGGAGAGATTTTATAGTTACATGGCATGGTCCTAAGCACTAAACCTTAAACCCGAAACCCCGAAACCCTAAACCGAAAACCCTAGACCTTAAACTCCCTAAACCTCCTCTTATCTTCTTCCTAACAAAAGGATTTTAGAAGTGAGGCTGTCAGTTCCCACACAAAGTGCATCCTCATTTGCTTGAGGGCTTACGGTTTGGGTTTAGAGCACAGATAAGCAGCCATAACTAGGAGCATGCCGATAACACTGTGTACCTTGCAATCAGAAACACATCACTGAGCCATCTGTACCTATATCTGCTCGGTTGCTTAACCAGGGTGGGCAACAGCACCGAAAGCATGCGGAAACTCCCTCTCTCGGTCGGCTGTACAAACCGAAGCCAGCAAAATAAAGAGGCCCATAAACCTAAATGCTCAGAACCCACAGCGCCAACATCTCTGCAGGATCCCAGAAGCTATAAAGTTTACCAGAACCGCTCATAGAAAGTCCGACGTTCTTGCGACCGTTTGGGCGCTTACACTCATCCCGGCCTCCTTCGGTGGCCCTTCAGAACGTGCCCGCGCCTGTTGAGAGAATCTGCCAGTGTTTAGATTTTAAGGGCTTTAGGCTGTCAGGTCCCTAAGCCCTAAACCCTGAACCCTCAACTCTGAACCCTAAGCCCTAAGCCCTAAACCCGAAGCCCTAAGCCCTGAACCCTAAACCCTGATCCCTAAACCCTAAGCCCTTGTTGAGGGGAGGCCGGAATTGAGCACGGAACCGGGAACCCTCCAAACACCGGAAGCATCCACCACGGGCTCAGGTGCCTAACAGTTATATAAATATACCTTAACCCTAAGGCTCAAAATAAAGAACCCTACTACAATTTTGGGTTTTGGGGTTTAGCGCTTTAGGGTTTAGGGTTTCGGCTTTCGGGTTTATGGTCTATACCTTAAGGACGACATGAACCCCCCCCGAAAAAATAAGGTTCATATACCATATAGGGAGTCGTCGTATAAGGGTATAAGGCCCCTAACCCTACTTAGAAGGGTCATCTGGTCCCCAAGGTAAAGCCCAACATAATGTTGTAGATGTCTCTATATTAGCGGTTACCATATTACAGTGACCGCTTTCAGGCCTACGCATCTAAGAATTCGCCATGCTTGGCCTGTTTGGTGTGTGAAAGGGATCGGGGGGAGGAAGGTTGCCTGTCTAAGAACCACACGTCACTTTTGGACATGTAAGATTGAAGCTGCACGGTGGAGGGGTGGCCTGCTCGTCGGCGAAAGCCTGCTCTGTGGCTACCACGGCCAGGACCACTTCCTTGAAGCCGTGCTGCCACTTCTATGCCCTTGCTGCAGCGTAGATGATACCGTCCCCGGCCATCTCCATGACATGACCATCGATGGGCGTGACGTTGCCGGCACTGTCTCGGAGCTCCGACATGGCCTTGTTTCGCGCGTCCTTCGGTCGAGTCTCCAGGAAAAGGTAAACAGGCCCGAAACGGTTGCTGAAGTTCCAGCCATGCTGTGGATTTCGGCCCAAGTCCGACTGCAGACTGCTATATATAGTTGTCGGCAGAACAACAAATAGCACTTTTGGAGGTCTGCTTGCTGAGCACGAAGTATGTCTTCAAGGGCCCTTGGTCAAAAGCGGGTGCGACGGGCCGGCATGCCAGATGTTCCCTTGATATATATGGTCCTGCCGAAACTAGACTCAGACAGCACAGTATCTGGGCCTTGATAGATGCACCATATAGGGTTTTGGTGCAGGTTGTAGTATCAACCCGTCTTGATTACAAGATTGAGGGTCCGACCCCGTGCAGTACCTACTTCTTCCCAGAGACTTCTAAAACCCCCAAGCAAAGGAAGGTACCTGAAATATCTTCAAACCACATGAGAGGTCTAGCCGTGATATAAGTTATGAGGTATAGTCCTGAATGTGTATTTAAGCCCCAAACCCTACCTATAGTCTCCCTTGTAGTTCCTTTTTTGCTAATTATAGGATCTTAGCCATAAATCTGGTTAATCAAAAAAGGAACTACAATGGAGACTATAGGTAGTCCCTAAACCCTCACTTCTCCGGCTTAGGGATCCTAGGCGCTTCGGGAGTTCAGGGTCTTGGGTTCAGCTCAAAATACGGTTTGGACTCAGACCTCGACACCAAAGCCCCTGAACCCGCAGCTTTGTTGGGCTTATATGCTTTAGGGTGGGTTCAGCGCCGATGAAATCGGTGAAAAATATGCACCGACAAAAAGTAAAGGTTTTACGCTACGAACTGCTCGACTACACCCCCTGAGCCAGGAATCAAACACACAAATTCGCGAAGCCCCCCAGCGCAACCCGTTGAAACCCTGCAGAAACGGTATCAGGCCTGGGCTTCATAGCGGTTTATATAGATTCCCCTACACCCTACAGACCCGAATGGTATGGGTGCCTGGGGCTTCTGGCTGCAGAAAAAAATCCTAAACCCTAAAGGGTTTGGGGTTCAGGGATCCTACCTGAAGCAACCAAGTTTTCTTCGTATGAATTCCGGTGATATGAGTTATACTTCTATGGGTTCAGGAATTTGGGATTGTAATCTTCGTTGGCCGGAGTACATTCTCTCCAATAAAGTGTATGTTTTCGCTACTATAAGTATTAAGCTCCCTGTAATTTCCCCATTGGGGTTCATGATACGAACCTACCCGCCCAAAAACGGATAACCGGTTGAATTATCGTAGGATCTTCGTCGAGGTTCAATGTTACCTACTCAACCCCTAAACCCTAAACCCTAAACCCTAAACCGTAAGATTCCCTGCGTCAGAAAAGGTCTCTGCCTTTCTTTCAGCGGCAGCTTCCTGTCTGAGATCCCGTGTTCCACGCCCTGCGAATGCATAGGTCTTAGGTTTAGGAGATTAAGGTTTGAGAAACCCTAAACCCTAAACCCTAAACCCTAAGGTTTAGGGTTTAGGGGATTAGGGTTTAGGGCTTAGGGTTTAGGGGATTCAAGCTTTGGATTTAGGGTTTAGGGGATTCAGGTTTAGGATTTGGGGTTTAGGGCTTTGGGTTTAGGGTTTGGGGCTTAGGGCTTCGGGCTTCGAGTTTAGGGCTTCGGGCTTGGGGTTTAGGGCTGAGGGTTTCGGAGAATTTTCAACGTTTCCCAACAAGGGAATAAAGTATGAACGACCCAGACCTTCCAATATCGCAAAACAACAAGTATAGTAGCATCAGTAATGGGAAATGCCCGTGAATGAAGGGGTATTGGAAGGTGTGCATCAATGTGAACGAAATAGGATCCGCATTATACAGTGACCAATGACAAATCTTGGCCTAAGTAGGTCGAAAGATGCTAATATACAGCATCGCTACACTATAGGCCCCAACGGAAGCCCTTCAGACACTCTTTCATGAGCTGTTAAAACAATGACACCTGAGAAGCCGTAAACAAAAAAAGCTAGCAGCTAACATAGAGGCCTTCTTAATTAGAATGGGGTTTGGGGTGTAATATATAAAAAGGGACCCCCAAAACCCTATTCTAATTATTAAGGCCCCTACATTAACCGCTCTCTTCGCTTCAAGGAAACACATCACCCTAAACCCTAAACTCGGGATACTCCAGACATCGAAACACTGAGCCCTCAAAAAGACGCTTATAATTCAACCCTTCAGACCCCTCAATCTTAAGCGCCCTTAGAGGAATAATGAAACATGGTATGATCCCTTGGAGTCTCAATAAAACATTCAAAAAAGCAAGAAACGATTCCTAAGACCCAAGAGCACTAAACAATCTTACTTGTCCAGTATCCTAGGGGAACTAAAGGGTCACGTTTGAGGTCACATAAGGATTACCTAGACCCTTGACTGCAGTACAGTACCTTTTTTTTGGTTGCCTTAGTTTCTTATTATAGGACCCTAACCATAAAATAGGTCATCCAATTAAAGGTACTACATTTAAGGGTCTAGCCATAGGCCCCTAAGTAGTTCCGTTTATGGTTTATATTTAGATTCCTATAAGGTAATCCCAAAAAAGGAACTACTTAGGGGCCTGTGGGTAGGTACAGTTCCCCGAAACGATTGAAGCTTACCTACCCTACTGCTCAGTCAACAACCTCAACACCCTACCTTAAGGACGAAATGAACCACAAAAGGGTTTAAGGTACATATACCATATAGATAGGGATTCATAGTATAAGGGTATTGGCCCCCCCCATTTATAAGGGTCATTTGGTCCCCAGAAACCATAAACCTCCTAGACTACTGAGGAAAACCACCAATTCCATGATGGATAGTATCTATTGTACGACCTTCTGGGTCTAAACCCTCAAACCCCAAAACCCTTGAAGGAACCCGGAAACCCCAAAACCCTAAACCCTAAACCCTTAACCCTTAAAGGAACCCCAAAACCCTAAACCCTACACCCCAAAACCCTTATAGGAACCCCAAAACCCTAAACCCCAAACCCTTAAAGGAACCCCAAAACCCTAAACCCTAAACCCCCAAACCCTTAAAGGAACCCCAAAACCCTAAACACTAAACCCCAAAACCCTTAAAGGAACCCCATCCCTAAACCCTAAACCCCAAACCCTTAAAGGAAGCCCAAAACCCCAAAACCCTAAAACCCTAAACCCTAAACCCCAAGCCCGTAAAAAAAAAAAAACTAAGCCCAAAACCCCAAAACCCTTGAAGAAACCCCAAAACCCTAAACCCTATAGATCCTATAGATCCCTTTAAAGGATCCCTTTAAAGGAACCCTTAAAGGAACCCTATGCAGCCAGATCCCGGCCTTCCAATACCCGGAGCTCCTCGGTCGCGCGGGCGATCGTTGCTGCGGCGGTGTCGATCACCGCCCGGAGCTGTGCAGCCACCTCTTCGGGTTTAGGGTTTAGGGATTAGGGTTTAGGCTTTCGGGTTTCGGGTTTAGGGATTCCCCTAAGACTCCAAATAGCTCCAAATAGGTAGTATTTGTAGACTCTATGACCCCAAAGTAGGTAGTACTTGTACACTTGGAGTCGTAGGGTTCGGGGTGTAGGGCTTTAAATGGGGCTTCTGGGCTTCAATTGGGGCGAAGAAAGGCCCTCATAGATTTCGGGGCCAAGGGCCTTGATTACGATGATTAGGGATTAGGGCTTAGGGCTTCAGGGTTTAGGATTTACTTGGAGGATGATGGGACGCAGTGAGTAAGGTTATAGGTGTCTTAATTGGGTTATCACAATGTATAAGTCTAAGTTATAAGTACAGTTACAAGGCTCCGAAGCCCTGTTCACGCGCGAGCTGTAGCAAGGGAAGCATTTTTTGTATCGTCAATACCGTTGAAAGCACCAGAGCGCCATTGATTTGCCTGGGTGTGGAAATCCCACATTTCTGCGTCAAAACGCGTTACCGCTAGAAAAATCGCCTCGGCGCAGCTGCTGCAACAGCATCTTGAAGCCTTGCAGATGTTGACATATTGAGTTCTGTTCGGCTTTTGGTCAGATCTGGAGAGCGTTAGTTTAAACAACAATCGAGGAATTTGAGCTTTCGACGTTTCTCGAACAAGAGACAAATCCACAAAGTTAGGACAACCAAGAAAATCAGAGAAGCATTTCGCATCGCAAAAACCAGGACACGGAGGCCCTGAGCACATGACGCTGTGCTGTTTGTGGAGCGTATCTCAAAAAAACACGCGGAAGTTGTGAGTTCTGTTACTTGTTTTTCAAACGCATGGAACAGGCACGCGGACGGGTATTCGTATGGTACAAGCACAGGATGCAAATGCAAATATAGCATTTAGGCTGAATCTTGAGCTGAAGCAGATGCGGTATCTTCGCAAATCGTGGCAGGCGCGGCGTTTTGTGATTTCGGAGTGTTTCTTTTGGCTTTGTTGTTTCATGTTGTTGCTTTTTGTTCTCGTTTTTGGGTGGGTTGTGCGTTTTGTTGGCATGTCTGACTGCTGGATAGGAGCAACGTGCGCACTGAGGAGGAGCGGCATCTCGGGCAATCGGAGCAACCCCCAACACTGTTTTTAACAGGCTCAATATGCTTACCCATAGGCCCCCAAGTAGTTCCTTTTTGGGAATACCTTTCAGGATTCTAATTATAAACCACAAAAAGCCACTACTTAGGGGCCTATGGGTAAGTTATATACTTCAACAGCTTATGATCAAACCCTCTATACTTGACACGGCGCATCCGGGCTTCGGTCTCCACGATTGAAACTACCCATAGGCCCCTAAGTAGTTCCTTTTTATGGTTTATATTTTTAAAATCCTATGAGGTAATCCCCAAAAGGAACTACGTAGGGGCCTATGGGTACATGCCACAAAATGCAGGTTGAAGAGTCTCAGTCCGAAACTACTCAAACGCAACTCTGCAAGCCCAAACCTGAAGTCTACGGTTCAGGGTTTACGGTTTAGGGTTTGAGGTTTAGGGTTTAGGGTTCCCTAAACCCTAGACCTTAAACCCTAAACCCTGAACCCTAGACCCTAAACCCGAAACGACAACCCCTTGTAAAACAGAAGAGAGAGGCTCCTAAAGCCCTGTGCTGAGTGCGCGTGAACACATCTTCGGAAGGTATAACTACGGTTGATGATATAAATCCTGCATCACCCGTAATAAGGAATGGACCATAATTCCCATAGTTTAGGGTCATTATAAGGTAATGCTAAGGATTCATATCATCAACCGAAAGTCCCAGGATCCTTTAAGTACCCCTAAGTACCCCCGTGTGCCCAAATAGTATATACTTTGCCCTTCAAGTACTTTGGGCCCAAAGTATATATTATTTGGGTACATGGACCCTTAGGGGTAGGCCTGGGTGGGGTGTGTAAGGATCAGGGGCTCAGTGCTGCAGGGTTTAGGCTTAGAGTTGAGGGTGTGGCGTTCGGGGCGTAAGGTATAGTTGAACGGTAGTGTATGGGTTTTGGGGTCTAGGACCTCACCTAAACCCTAAACCCTAAATCCCTACACCCGGTTTAGGGGTTTAGGGTTCTGGGGTCTAGGAAGCCCCCGAACATCCCTAAAAAAACTGTCACCGTCATCTCTCTCTTCATCTCAGAAGGTAAGCAACAAAAAGCAGCTTGTCGCAGCTCCTTTAGAAAAAAGGAGAGGACACCCCCACAGCGATCCTCGGGAGGACAACATCCACACCGAAAGACGATCCGCATGGAACCCTTGAAATGAGAAGATTAATGAAGGGCCCTATAAGGTTTAGGGCTTAGGGCTTTGAGTTTAGGGTGTAGGGTTTCCGGTTTAGGGTTTTCGGTTTCGGGTTTAGAGGGCCATAGCAAGGTAGGTTAGGGGTCAGACAGGCCTTGATGTTATTAGCCCCACCCCTGAACATTAAGCCTAAACTCTTCGAGGCCCCGACTTCGTGAGCTCGCGCAGCATTTTCTTGCTCTCCTGTGCCATCACACCAAACCCAGCATGTGGAAATTGCACCATTGTTGTCGATTGGTTACGGATGCCGATGGCATAGTCATCCATTTGGAGCGGCTGTACGGACACATCGCGACAGCAAACCCATTAAGCCCATCATCGCGATACTTGATCGTCGCACACAAGGCTCTGCTAGCAGCATAGCCTGTCCGCATCGCTAACGCCTTGTCAAAGTTCCGCCCCATCTGCATGGTGCCATAGCCACGCACAGCGTTGCCGGTAACGGCAGCCATGCGTTGGCGGTGCTCGGTACGACCAACCCTAAACCCTAAACCCTAAACCCTTAACCCTAAACCCTAAGCCCTAAACCCCTTAACCCTAAGCCCTAAACCCTTAACCCTGAACCCAGGTATCTCCCTCGCAAAGAGGCTTGCTGCAACGGCGGCAGCGAAGCCTTCGGCCGCAGCATCTCCGAATGTCAGCCCTGACTGAGTAGCGCTTTAGCAACCTGGAAGTTGCACTCCTACGGTTCATGATACAAATCCTGCATTACCCATAATAAGGAATATACCATAATTCCCATAGTTTAGGGTCCTTAAGGTAACGCAGGATTTAGATCATCAATCGTATGGTTCCGATGCCAGGAGCAAGAACTTCATCACTGTCTCGGGACTGCGGTCCCTGAACTGATCATTGCTGTAAACATCTGTGTTGACTTGCGCATCACTCGCATCTCCTACAGCCCCTACGCTCCTGGAGCCTGACACCCTAAACCCCAAAGCCCCAAATCCCATCATAAGAACCCAAACCCTAAAACACCCCACCCTACAACACCGGAGCCTACAGCCCTGCACCCTAAACCCCGGATCCAAACCCTGTCTTCCGGGCCTCCTCCGCATCTTTGGCAGCTGAGGCGGGCACCCCGCGACCGTAGAACGACTGCCTCAAAGATATATAAGGGCTTCATAAATTCAGAAGGTCATACATATATATATATATATACTACCATTATGGACTTAGGCCCCCAAAGACCATCCCTAATATGATAATATGATGTTTTGGGGAATATGATTCCATCGTAGTAGTATTTATGGACCCTCTTGTTAAAGGGGCCTTCATGATGGGTATTTCGGGTCTGGTGGAGCTTGAGCTGTGAGGGTGTTGATGCTTGAAGGTAACGTTACACTTTAGGACCCTTTAAGGTTTTATTACAAGGCAATTCTAGGACGTTTAAATTGCAGTGAATCATATGGGGCTTCGGCCGGAAGCATTATAAACGCCCTTGATTGAGGATCTAATGTTTAGGGATTTAGGGTTTAGGGAGGATTGCATGTTAGGGCTTGGGGGGTTTAGGGTTTAGGGAGGATTGCGTGTTAATGTTGAAGAGCATCATGTTGTAAGTCACGGCGTACTCCTGGCATTGCCCGGGGCTTCTGACAGATTCGTTTCGTGGCTTACGAAACACCTACAGTCTTCAATGCAGTGCTAAACCGAAAACCCTAAAGCTCAAAGCCCAAATAATCTGAATCCTGACTACCCTAACACGCAACGCCGCAGCGCTACGCTAAATGCACAAAACCTCAAACCGTGAACCCTAACCAACTATGTACCCTTATAAAACCCACCCTAAACCGAAAACCCTAAAACTAAAACCCAAAGCCCGGCAACCTAACTACCCTCACCTTAAGGACGAAATGAACCCCAAAACGGTTTAAGGTTCATATACCATATAGGGAGCCATCGTATACAGTATAAGGGTAGAAGGCCCCTACTTAGAAGGGTCATTTGGTCCCCAAGGCAAGCCCAAACAGCCCTTAACCGAAACCCAAAAGCTTGACGCTTTGGAGTCTCTAAAAACTCCGGGCGCACCCAGAACTTCGCCGCGATCGAGGCCGCACAGCAGGCGCGGAAAAGTCAGGGCCTCGGAGTAGGATTTAAGGTTTAAGGTTTGATCGAGGAGGGCGGTGCTCTCCGTGGGTTTCTTTTGGTTGGTGGCACTGCCAGTGTTTTATTTTAATGAATGTGTTTGCGCATGTGTGGCCATGCTTCCGATTGTTTCTGGACCCTCGTCCGTTTTTGACTTGGGGTTGTGGGTGGTTGGGGTTGTGGCCATGCGGACTCAACCTGTTCCGTAGGAGATCGGGTTTAAGTTTCCGTGGCTGTAGAGTAAGGATGTTTGGTCTAACGTGCAACCATAAGGTTTCAAGTGCATAGCAATCATTTAGGGTTCAGGGTTTGGGGTTTAAGGCCTATCATCCATTCCACAATAGTAGATTGCTTATTGCAACAATAATCATATGACTACCCCGAATAAGTACACTTATACTAAGCCTACGCTTATTGGGTGCTTTAGGGGCCCTTGGAATACGGGCATCGTGGGATTAAGACGCCTTGTTACCTTGGGGACCAAATTACCCTTCTAAGTCGGGGCCCTATACCCTATACTATGACTCCCTATCTGGTATATGAACCTTAAACCCTGTTGGGGTTCATGTCGTCCTTAAGGTTAGGCTGGTTAGGTAGTGAGTCAGGCTTAAGCCCTAAACCCCGAGATCCTAAAGTGTTACGGGTGCTTTTCGGCAAAGACGGGTTCCTCAAAAATCCTGGAAGGCTCACTTAGCCCGAACTCAGCCCCTGTTGCACACCCTATAATTACTGCCTCCAAGATGATCTTGACCCACTCGAACTCTGAGAGAAACCCCATTAAATGCTGATGTGAACCTCTCTGCTTACCATCACGGCACAGACTGCATCTGCCGGGTGCGCAGCTATAAGCACAAGTGTGGGTCCGTGCCAGACGAGAATTCTTTCCAAGGAAATCTTTGTCCATCTGCATATTGAACCCAACAGGGTTCACCTCGTTGAGCAGGGCGCAAAACGTCTGCCCGCAACAAATCATGAAGTGCATGAGCTTGAGGAGTCTCAATCCAGAGCACACGCCGCTGTCACGTCGCTCATACTCTGGGGGTTTAGGGTTTAGACGCCAGCCATCGCAACTGCCCCAAAAACCGAAGGCCTTGCTCAGCAATGGCCATGGCCCTTGTTGGTTCGACGAACAGGTCCGGAGCCTAAGAGACAAGCAACAGTTCATTGCCGAGATTGCCTCCCCAGATCTTTCAAACAAGGGCTCCTCGTTCCAAGTTTGGGAGCAAAGCGTAGCTTCCAGATACTTCGACAACAATGTTGTCACCGATCCCTTAAGCCATTTGCCATACGGAAACCATCGTCAAAGAGCACTGAAAGGTGTCCTTCGCCAAGCAGGTCAGCACTGGCACCTCGTTCGAGCGGCACCAGCAAAAAAACTCGCTTCCACATTGTTCAATGGCGCGTGCATGCTGCGACCAGGGAGGTATCCTCTTAGCTTATGTAAGCTATGTTCCTTCATCAAGCTATAACGTGGTTTGCCTCTAGCTTGGGGGAGGTGAGTTGGACCCCGTTCTCTTGTCTATAGCACCTATTCCTATATGTAGAGATGATCCATGATGATCCCGCAAGATGAACCCCAGAGCGTCAAACATTGCCGCAGCTGTGGTTGCGTCACGAGTGGTTTCCAGGTCAGAACCCTTCCGGGAGCAAGCTTGCAAAGAACAGTCTTTCGACAAAGCTTTTGCGCCACGCCCAAAACCCGACCAGCAGCAGCCAGGTGTTGCGAAGAGGGCGCTCCGCACCTGTGCGACATCACCTTTACAAGTGTTGCTCAATGATCCAGAATCAACAAGTCAGCGTGTCACAGAGGACAGGTGTCTTGAAACCCTCTCCCGGCTTGGGCCTTGGGGGCTGAAATCCTGCAACAACCACTCTTGCTATTGTGTCACCTCAGCTTCTTCATCCCCGTTCTTGTCCTGCCACAACGATGCAAGGACAAACCCAAACTGGATGCAACCGCGGTGTGACCCTGCTGCGTCTTCAAAGAAACAAGCCTGACATGGAGTGTCAAAATCCAAAATCTCCGGCACAAGCTTCGCTTTCATGACCCACGATTTCTACAGTACGAAAGCCATGCCGGCTGGAGCTGCTTGTTCGGGCTCACACCTTGGCACACTCGGCAATTCTGGACCTCCGGTGCAACTACATAACCGTCATTTTCACGTGGCACATCGGAGAGTTGGCGGTGGGGCATGTGCTGTTAGCGCTAAGGAAACTGCTTTGGATCTTGGGCTCTACCGATTTCGCAGTACATGCTTGCAATGTTCTGCTTTCCAAGCATGGAGCATCAGCAGGAATCAACATGTTTTCAGTTTGTATCTACTGTCGCATCAGGGACACTGTCGCAATTTCGGGGTCTGGAGCCTGGAGTCTTCGAGGTCGCGGCAAGTTTGTGGTTTGCATTCTGTACGCGTGTCGTTCGGCCTCTCCGATGGCCAAAAATTGTGGTTAACAAAACGGGTACATGCCCGTTCGTGTAGGTGTTGGGGCTGCCACAGTGGGACTTCTGTGCTTGGGGGGTTGCAGCCCCGTTCCTAGCTGTCAACTCCGAAGTCAATGCCTGCACCCGTTCAGCAACCCCCCCTTGTACATACAAGCTGAATGGGGCCCACCAGCCTCGCTTGGTCTCAATGCCTCGATGAAACATGTGCTGCCAAAGGCCTGACAATGAAATGCACCTGCAGCCAATTGTGCTTCGTGCCATGCTGCATGGCATCGAAAGCCAATTCGTCTTTGGCATCCGGGGTCCATTGCCCAGTCACTTTGTTACCGCCCGAATCTTTCTTGGCCTGATCCAGAAGGATTTCTTGGCTACAAAGTCATGACTACCTTACCTCATTGGCCTTGTGATGTTTTTCAGACCACACATAATGGTTTTCATGGTTTATTCAAAACACGCAAAAAACTCAGCTGAGACTCAAAAAAATAAACCAGTGTTCAGCCAAAAACTCAGCCCGAATTCCGGCTCCAAAACAGGACTCAAAGAAAACTCACGGGAAACTCAGAAAAAACTCGCGGGCAGTTTTGTGTGGTTTTTGAATTTCCGCTGAGTCTCCGCTGAATTGTGTTTTTCGATTTTTTTCCCGAGTTTTTCCTCCCCCACAGCTCCTGCCCGGACCCCGGGCTCCACAAAGCTTTTCCCTGCTTTTTGGGTGTATTTTGAGTATTTTCGGAGTCCCCCCGGACTTTTTGAGGAGTTTTGAGTGTTTTTCGAGTTGCCGCTGAATTTTGTTTTACGATTTTTTTCCTGAATTTTTTCCTCCCCCAGCTCCTGCCCGGGCCCCGAGCTCCACAAAGCCTTTCCCTGCTGTTTTGGGTGTATTTTGATGCTGGAATAGTTGTTGACTTTCTTTGATTTCTTGAGCTTTACCTGAGTTTTGTGAATACTATTGAGTTTCCGTCGAGTGTTTCGGTGAGTTTATCTGAGTTTTGAAAAATGTCCTTGTTTGAGTTTTTGGTGAGTTTAATCCGAGATTGGAATTTCGGACAAACACCCCTTATGTGTGGGTAGTTAACATCACAACCTTGGCGTGTTTTCTGTGCCTGCGGGATTCCGCCCGACTTCGCGATCTTTCCCCTTCCATAAACCACCAGAGTGTCTTCCTGCAAATTTCTGCGCAACCACGAAGCACAGCTAGCTGCTGGGAGACCCCAAGGTTGCGATCCAAGCCCTCTGCCCGTGCGACACATGCAGGAGCCCCACACATGTTTTTGGGGGGTTTAGGGTTTAGGGTTTGGTGGATTTAGGGATTTAGGGTTCTGAACCCCAGATTTTTTGGGGTTTAGGGTTTTTAGGGTTTAGGGTTGAGGGATTTAGGGATTTAGGTTTTAAGGGTTTAGGGGGTTTAGGGTTTATAATTTAGGGATTAGGTTTTAGGGGTTTAGGGGTTTTAGGGTTTAGGGTTAGGGTTTAGGTTTAGGGTTTAGGTTTAGGGTTTAGGGTTGGGGTTTAGGGTTTCTGGTTTAGGGGTTAAAACGAGAAGGAAAACGGCGTAGCCCTGGAGAAGAGAAGGAAAA